GATTGGCAGAATGCGTACCTAGAAAGCATGGCGCCTTGAGTTCAAACCCTAGCCCACCCCCCCCTCCCATAAAATAAAATATTAAAGCAGAACCATCTAGACACTGCAACAGAATTTTCCATCTTTGTGAAGATGCTGGCAGTAGGTCCTTACAAGAGGGACCTATCTGTCTCTCATAGTTACTAAGGAAAGCTCTCTCAAAAATCCTAGGAAGATTATGGGGAGAAATGGCATGAAACTTAAACACAAACTCAATAAAAATCACAATGAAAAACATTCCGTATATGTGCGCAAACTTTTGAGAGCCATGCTGAACACTTGGCAAGTATTGCATTTATTCCTCATGAGAGGGGAAATTAAAGAAGAGGACCAGGGAGATTAGTTACAGCAAATATGTGACAAAACCAGGATTTGAAAGCCAGGTTGACTCCAGCTGGAACTGGAATAAGGAACTGAGGCAAGGTCCTGTGTTGCTCTACATTGAGGGTTGGAGGATTTGTAGGATACATGTGACCATTCAGTTGTGGGGGTTAGAAAAGAAGCCTTTGGGAAAAACCTTGCCTGCTGAACAGTGGTGAGCACTGGGCCAAAGAGAAAGAGGGTGAAAGATCTGCTCAACACAGAGGATGGAAAAACTTCCCAAGAATTATGAACTGGGGACCCCGTGGCTCGACCCCATCTCATTGAAACCTGCCAGTCAGTAGAGGCACCTGCTTTGCTCTCCACTCTGTCCCCAGCCTGTAGTCTGTGTACTCCAATGTACCATGGCACTGCCACCTGTCACTGTGGGCATTTTTGTCTAGCAAGAGGAACCAAAGCCCAGAGAGTAAGCAGCCTTCACTAGAGTTTCAGGTACTCTAACACCCCAAGCCTGACCATGCTTTAAAAAAAAAAAAAAAATAAGAGACTCTGGGCCTAGATAGTTCCTTTTTCCCCCATCTGATTCATGTTAGTTTGTAGAAATCCTCCAAGGAGATACAAATCAAATTGTCAGACAACCATTTTTTATGCTTACCATTTATTATGTGGGTCAAGAATGTGGTTAGCATGCAGCAGGGATGGTTTGTGTATGCTCCACAATGTTTGTACATCAGCCGGAAGACTCAGAAGCTGAGAGTGACTTCACAGCTGGAGGCTGAAATAATTTGGTAGCTTGCTCACCCACATGTCTGTATGAAGCTGGTTGTTGACCAGAACCTTAGGTTTTTAGACCAGAACACCTACAACCTGGAGTACTTCATAGTATCGCTTAGTCCCTAGAATAAAATCCATTTTGCTGTTGCTAACCTAGCACTGAAGCCCCTTGGTGTCACATTTGCCACATTCTGTTAGGACAATCTTAGAAAGCTACCTCACCAGTTTCAAGTAAAACAGCACCTTGCTGTACACTGGTGGCTTGTGCTTGTAATCCTAGCTAGTCAGGAGGCTGAGATCTGAGGATTATGGTTCAAAGCCAGCCCTGGCAGGAAAGTCCATGAGACTCTTATTTTCAATTAACCATCAGAAAACTGGAAGTGGCTCTGTGGCTCAAGTGGTAGAGCACTAGTCTTGAGCTGAAGAGCTCCAAGGCAGCACCCAGGCCCAGAGTTCAAGCTCCATGACCAACAAACTTTGATAGGACAAAGTTTTAGAAAGATTGTTAGTGTTACCAGTTATTTTTTAGAATTAGTCTTCTCTTTGGAATAAATAGACATTTCCAAAGAAAGGACAGGATCCAGGCTGAGAAGGTGGCTCAGTGGTAGAGTGCTTGCCTTGCATGCATGAGGCCCTGGGTTTGATTCCCCAGCACCACTTAAGCAAAAAAAAAAAGGAAAAAAGCCGGAAGTGGCGCTGTGGCTCAAGTGGTAGAGCGCTAGCCTTGAGCTGAAGAGCTGAGGGTTAGCACCCAGGCCCAGAGTTCAGGCTCACGACCGGACCCCCCCCCCAAAAAAAAAAAAGACACCTCAAGGCAAGAGGTTTCTGCAAATGACTTGTAGATTAACAGTGACTGGGAGGACTCTTGGCTCTCATTTATTTCATCTATTATTGTGTTGCTTTATTTTCATTACAGCACTTAGGAAACATTCTTTTTCATTTGTTTATTGTCTGTCTCTCCCTCCAGAATGTAAGCCCCTGAGAGCAGGAGGCCTCTTCTTACTCCCTGCTGTGTTCAGCACACGGTCTGTACTCAATAAGAAATTGAATGACTCATTGTTCCATTCACTAGATGGGGGAAAGAGGCCTGGAGAGGGAAGTAACTTGCCTGAAAGAACAGGACTCCTTCACTCCCATCTGGGAGTCTTGCTGATTAACCCTGTGGCTGTTAGGATACCTGTGGGGTGGCTGACAAGTGCTTGCTAGGTGTGCCCCATGAGTTAGGACTAAAGCAGAACTGGGAGTAAGACCCACAGTCTTCTCCTTGGGTTGTCTGAGAGAAGCCTGACTCCTTTCCCTCTCAAGACAGTCCTTAACTCTGTTGATGAGAGAGAGAGGCCCCTCGACACTCCAGTAGCATGCAACACCAGGCAAGTTTCCATGGCAGGCACCTTTGGGTAGGACTCTGCCCTCTTCCAGAGGAAACTGCATACTTGCTTGCACTTAATCTTCCCAGGGTCTCGAGTGGTCCCCCCAACCCCCTTGGTCTGAGGTTCTATATCACCCCTTCACATAAACCACAGATGTTATGATTACACAGTGCCTGTCTCATGGAGAGTGAAGGATCTTGTATTTCTTGAGGATAGGTTACTGGCCAAACTGTGTGTGTGTCTGGAATTCTCAGTTCAACTCTAGATGGTTTCAGGAAGGATAGCAGAGGCAGGCTCAGGCCATTCAGCACTGGGCAGGGCTAGAAACCAAGAGCTCTCTGACTCCCACATTTAACTGCAAGGATTCCCAAGTGTGGTCAGATCCAGTAGGGGCTCTTCACCAGGTTGTCCTTGAAAGACAACCACCTGTCTCTTTTCGGCCGGGGCATGAGCTCTGGGCCTGGGCCCTGTCCCTCAGCTCTTCAGCTCAAGGCTGGTGCTCTACCACTTGAGCCACAGCGCCACTTCTGGCTTTTTCTGTTTATGTTGTGCTGAGGAATCATGGCCTCATGCATGTAAGGCAAGCACTCTACCGCTGAGCCACCTTCCCAGCCCCCCACCTGTCTTAATAGCTATTTTAATTCCATTAGTAGATATAAGTAGCATGTAAAGTTTTTTTATGTATTAAATCAAATAAATTGACCAAAAGAAACTGTGGTTATTGTAGGTAAAAACCAAGCTGGTAGTTTAATTTGAGGTTATGGAGCTGCCCTCATTGTCCAGGTACATTGTTTTTCAGGTTTTTTTTTTAATAGCACAGGTCCAATGTATGGACAAAACTTGAGTTACTTTTCCATTCTCTGTGCACCTCCATTCTGGATAGATAGATTTGAATTTGGGCTTCCCAAGAAATGGGCATGTGGCCTCAGGCTGCTTGGGGGTCTGACACTTAAGAGAACTGGGCAGTGGCTCTGAGCCTTTGAGCTGAAGTGTCTATTTGCCAGAGACATCTTGCTGGCCATCTTGCTGATACTTCTGGACTGGTTCTGCCAGTAGTGATTTCCCTTCGGGGAAGGGGAAGGCCTGAGGAAGGTCCACTGCAGCCCATATTTCTAGCGCGTGGCTCTGGTTAACATACACCAATTTCACAAATAAGGAGGCTGGTTGCATAGAGTTCTAAGTTGGTTCCCCAGCAACAGGTGGGGGGGTTGGGGGCAACGACGACAGGAGATTACAGGAACATTAAGGCTGTGTGGAAACCAGCTGATGGGAGCTCTTGTGCAGATGTAGTCCCACCTGCCACTCAGAGTTGCCTCTAGTTGTAGATCCTATCTCCTTCCTGAGCACTGGGCTCTTGGGGCAGGCGTAGTGGATGAACTTGATTGCCTGTCTGGAGGAGAAACTGACATCCACGCCGGGCACCACAGACTTCGGGCTTAGGATAAAGTGTAACCCTCGTCACTTCTTGGGCCTACAGCAGCCCGGTGGCTCAGCCTGGGGACCGCACAAATGTTTCACTCGCCACCCAACACGATAGTGTAACCGACTTTTAGCTGCTGGCGTTTAGGTCCTGCAGCACCCAAACATGCTGCCTCCAGAAGTACACACAGATGGCTTCCGGGGCTACTCGGGAGGGCTGCGATTCCCTGGGCTCCAGGAAGGGGATCGGCATCCCGGCCCTGGTGGAACTCCCCTCTCCACCTCCCTCACGCTTTGATCCTCCCCTCCCCTGCCAGGCCTGTAGCGCAAGACATCCCCCGCCCACCGCCCGGCATCACGTGTGGTGCTTCCACCCAGTTCCGTGGCCAGTCAGGCCCAGTATGCGCATCTGGAAAGCGGGGGAAATGTCCCTGGGGCTCGGGTGGGGATGATGTAGGCTGCTGGCTTAGTATAAGGCGGCACCCAAGGAGCCAGACCCGTTCTAGGGACTCGGCAGGTTCTCCCTGCGAAGGGGCTCTTCGTCTTCTAAGTACCTGGCAGTAATGGGGGTGGGGTGCGCAGGGAGAAGACCGAATCGATCGCATTTGGAGGAGTGTAAAGATGGTTTTCGTGTTCTAGGCCACCCCAGTCGGTGAGTATTGGTGTGGCAAGTCTCTGGCCTCAGTTTCCGCATCCGTAAATTGGGAAGAAAGCCCCAGGTCCAGGTTCCTGAGCTTGTAGACAATTGGAAGACGTTGAGGAACGATCTACCGGCGCGACCGAAGTCCTGCTTTCAGTAGGCTGAAGTCCCTTGAGCTGTAGAGGACCGGGAGACAGGCTTCACACCCCCGAAAAGAGCGCTGGGAGGCACGCAAGGGCGGGGCCCGCGAGAGCTGGAGACGCCCGTCCAGCGTCGGCCAACCAGCGCCCTCCTCTGAACAGCCAATGAGCACGCGCCTTACAACCGAGGCAGGGTCGCGAGCGAGGCTGCGGCGAGTGCAGCTCTGACAGGGACGCGCGCGCGCGCGCGACCGAGCTCGGACCCCGGGCCGAGGCCGCCATCACTGCCGCCTGCGCCGTCGTCTCTCGGTCACTTCCCTTCGCCATGCAGGCGAGGCCGCCGCCGCCGCCGCGGAACTGAGGCGGAGCTGCCGTCCCGGTCCCCCGTGGTCCCGCCCAACGCCGGACTCGGTGAGTGTTCGCGGCCGCCGCCCCGGTGGGCTCCGGACGCGGGTGGGAGGGGTCCCTGGGCTCTCCCTTTCCGGGCGGGGTCCCTCGGGCTTGTGCACTGGGATCTGCATCCCTGCGCGGTGGGCGGGGGTGGGGGTCTCCGGAAGCGTGTGGGACCGGGCACCGACCCCTCTCCACTGCCCAGGAACTTTGCGGGCGTCCTCCTGGGATCTGGCCAGGGCGCTGCCATAGTTCATTCTGAAACAAGAAACTTGGAACAGCGAGAACAGCATTTGCCTAGGTCCATTTGATGGGAGAGAAAAAAGAAACTCCTGGCAAGAGAAATTTTGTTTTTGCAATGACCCAAGTTTCTTTCCCTAAAAGCCCCTCCTGGCCCGATTCCCAGGCCCCTCTTTTTGCCGTCCACTCCCAACTGTTGAAGATGCATTAGGAACGGGGAAATAGGGGACCAGAGAGCTGCTCAGAATTCATAATGAGTCACTTGGGAATGCAGATCCCCTCCCTTTTTACTCTCACTATTTTTTTTCATACTCACACACACACATCCTCAAATATATTTCCTGAAAATAAAAACATTAATGGCAGAACTGAGTCTCATGTTGAGGTAGGCGTGTGTGTGTGTGTGTGTGTGTGGTGTTTGTGTGTGTGGTGTTTGTGTGTGGTCAGTAATACTTGTAAGACAGGAAAAGAGGAATGTTCAAACCCTTCCTGAGCAGAGTAATGCCTGTAGAAGCCTTTGGCTACAATAAGGATTGCTGCTGGAACCAGACACATCTCTGAGATTGCTTCACTAACCACCTGCTAGCTGTTGAGACAGCCAGACAACCCAAAAGATGGTGGGTGAGAGGATTGACTAGGAAAGGGCGAGCATCTTCCTGCCTGGCCACTCCTTTTAAAAACACAGATCGGATGCTGTCACTTGTTTATTTTAAAACTCCTTCATTTTTTGTTTATCCTGTGGGATGAATGAAACTCAAAATGTCTCAATCGGGTCACAAAGGGCCCTGGACAGTCTTGCTTCAACTTATTTTACATTTAGCTTAATCTTATCCTCCTATGGGCCTAGCCTTTCAGAGTCTGCCTGACTGCCCCTTCACCTATTTGGAGGTTTTTGCTTTCTTGTGTACTGTTTCCTCCCATATTGACTGTGCTAGGAGAATTCTTCCCAGTTGTCTCCATTTCCCAAGAGAATTTTCACTAGTCTTTCCCAAAGACCTGTTTGGAATGCATAGTCAGGACTTTGGTACCTCTGATTCCCCATCTCCCCAAGTCTATCCCACCTAGCCTCCATAAATAGCAGGCAGAAACTGACAGGTCCCATGTTCCACAGGCTTCCAACTTGCTTGACTGTCCCTGAAAGACTAAAATCCCCTTAGTCATTTTTCATTGCTCAAAGGGGCCTCAGATATGCTATAATGAATGGTGAGATCCAGGAGGTCACTTCCTGGGTTCTTTTTAGCATGTGGGTGCACTACAGAATTAAAATGCAAGCCCTTTGACTTACGTGTATTTATGTGTCATCTATTTGCCAGGTAAAGCGCTTGATTATGATGCAAAATGAAAGTGAGAAACTTCTTGAGTCCTTTCCTTTGAAGCACTCACAGACCAATGCAGGACAGGTGGATATAATTACACTGTAGGTGCTATTGGAGTAATAATGATTGCTATTACCTTTTATTTGCCTGTGACAGGTTATGTAATAAACGCCTACATGATTCTCTCATGTAATCTTTTCAATGGTTGTATGGGGGCTTATTCCTACTCTGTAGGGCTGAAAACTAAATCTCTGTGATGGGCATATGAAACAATAGTCTGAATTTGAGTCCTGTCAGTCTACCTTCAGAGCCTCTGCTAGGCTGCATAGGTTACATTCCTTGAGTGGTTAAAGAAAACTTTCTTGGCAGGAATCCTTTGGGTTCTGAAGGATGTATAGAAGTTGGTTTATAATGGGCTGGGAATGTGGTTCAGTGGTAGAGTGCTTGCCTAGCATGCATGAAGCCCTGGATTCCATTCCTCAGTACTACATAAACAGAAAAAAGTCTCAAGTGGTAGAACACTAGCTCTGAGCTAAAGAAGCTCAGAGATAGTGTCCAGGCCCTGAGTTCAAGCCCCATGACAGGCAAAAAAAAAAAAAAAGTTTATGATGGACAGCACACAGTAAAAAGGGAGAAAGCTTGGAGGTGGAAAGACCGACTGTCTTTGGGAATTAAATTGAATAGATGAGATTAGGGTCAGTTTGAAGGCTGTTTAAGAGTTTGAGCCAAACGCCTGTAATCCTAGCTACTCAGGAGGCTGACATCTGAGGATCATGGTTCAAAGCCAGCCGGGGCAGGAAGGTCCATGAAACTCTTATCTTCAGTAAACCAGCAGAAAACTGGAAGTGGCCCTGTGGCTCAAGTAGTAGAACCCTAGCCTTGAGCTGAAGAGCTGAGGGACAGCGCCCAGGCCCAGAATTCAAGTCCTATGACTGATTAAAAAAAAAAAAAAAGTTTGAACCATGGAAAGGTTTAAAGGAGATCAGAGACCTGGGACTCATTGGGCATTGGAAAGGTCTTTTGATGGTGCCTTTGGGGGCCAGATGCTAATAACCTGTCAATTTAGAAGGTAATGGCCCAGCTCCACAACATAGCATCACATCCTCTTAGACTCAGTAGATTATTCCTCTCTAGAGAGAATTCTGCTCAGTTTTGAGAAGATAATGCATTTGAGAGGAAAATCTAGCAGTGTAAAGGTATATGTAGAGAAAATAAATCTCCTCCCTACCCTGACCCCAAGTTTGTTGCTTCCTAACCTTCCCAGAGATAGCTGGAGTCTCTCACTTCTGTGACCTCCCATAGGCACTGTTCCTTTATGTGTGTTGACTTGTATTCTTCTCACCATTGCATGTTTGTCTCACCTTACTTCTTTAATTAACATACTTAAGAAATTACATCTTATTACTATATTCAGAATTATTCAAAATTATTCATTCTTTTAGGGGGGAAATGAACTTAGGGCCTGGGCTCCATCACTGAACTTTTTTTGCTCAAGGCTAGCATTTTACCACTTGAGCCACAGTTCCACTTCCAGCTTATTGGGAGATTTTGGAATTAAAAGAGTCCAATGGACTTTCCTGCCCCATCTGGCTTTAAATCATGATTCTCAGATCTCAGCCTTCTGAGTAGCTAGGATTATAGGGGTGAGCCACTGGTGCCCTGCTGAATTATTTATTCTTTGTATTGACACTATATGACTGCATTGTGAAATAAGCTGTATTTGTACATAGGACTATTGTATATGTTTAATGAGGCTTCAGGTTAAACATTTGTTATAGCCCATTTCTCTTACAGAAATATAGAGAGTATCCTTTGGATATACATTGGTATGTGCTCATTTGTACAGTTATGTCAATGATGTACTTTTTGAAATAGAACTACTGGATCAAAGGACATATATGCTTTTCTTAAAGATATGTAGCCAAATTACCAACCCTTTGAGATAATTGTTTGAATTTAACCTGTTCCCCAAAATGTGTTGGATGTTCACCAAAATACCTAATGAGATCATCTGTGATGCTTTTTCAGCTATCACATGCCTGCTTCCCACCCACCCCCCATGTGATTTTAGCCTGTTTTCAGTTGGAATAGAAGACACTGAGGCTTAGAAGGATTCAAGTGACGTGTGCAAGAAGATCAGTGTTAAGTAGTAGTGGCCTATTTTTGCAGCTCTGGCATCTAGTACCTCTCATGGAGACACTCAGAATTAATTAGTAAATATTGTTGGATTATTTTTTTTCCTCCATCTTCACATGGAAAAATGAGCCCCAGGCTTGAGTTAAAAGTAGGAAGCTCGGGCTGGGAAGGTGGCTCAGTGGTAGAGCGCTTGCCTTGCATGCCTGAGGCCCTGGGTTCGATTCCTCAGCACCACATAAGCAAAAAGAAAAAAGCCGGAAGTGGTGCTGTGGCTCAAGTGGTAGAGTGCTAGCCTTGAGCTGAAGAGCTGAGGGACAGCACCCAGGCCCAGAGTTCAGACCCCATGACCGGACCCAAAAAAAAAAAAAAAAACAAGTAGGAAGCTGGCCAAATATAGTCTTGTGGTTTTTTTTTTTTAATTTTTAGTACAACTAATAAATGTTTCCAGATTCTGAAGCTGAAGAAAACCTACAAATAACCCAATATTAAGGTTTATTTTTAACATATTCTGTATTGAAAAGAGAATTCACTAAATATAAAACTATACTTTAAATTTCTATATATACATTGATTTTTATATTTGTAGTCTGTAAATAGGGAATATGAGTTTTGAATTGTTGAGTAGCATAAAATATTTTATATTTACTTGTTTATGTGTCTTTACTATCTTAAATCACAATATTTTATTTTTTTAAATTTTTGTCTGTTGTGGGGCTTGAACTCTGGGCCTGGGTGCTGTCCCTCAGCTCTTCAGCTTAAGGCTAGCGCTCTACCACTTGAGCCACAGCGCCACTTCCGGTTTTTTTCTTTTTGCTTATGTGGTGCTGAGGAATCGAACCCAGGGCCTCATGCATGCAAGGCAAGCGCTCTACCACTGAACCACCTTCCCAGCCCCAAATCAGAATATTTTAAAATCACAGTATAGTATTCCATGAATCAAAATGTGTAATTTGTATAGTGTGCTTTATTTCTTCCTTTCTTTATTCTGTTATAAACCCATGCACCCATGTTCAAGTACTTCTTTTGGATTATTTTCTTGGACCTTTACTTCTTAAGTGGGCTTAACGAGTCAGAGGAATAGTTTAGTGCTCAGTTGCTACCTCTGATAATTGAATTAGTCTACAATTGTATCAGCAACATATGTAGCCCTGTTTCCAGGGTACTTAACCAGTGTTACCACTTAAAAAGAAAAAGCTAATACTTCATATTTTATTAATTTGGAAGAAAGACAGAGGTGCCTCGAGGTAAGTTCGATTTGTGTGTGTGTATGTGTGTGTGTGTACATTTTTTTTAGTTTTGTATGTGTGTGTGTATTTGCTGGTACTGGAG